ACTGCATAACAACTGAAACATTTTTCTTTTCGGCATCTTCTGGTTTGCCATTAGGACCAGCTAAACCTGTTGTTAACCATCCACATATTTCTAATGCAATAAATGAATCACCAATAATAACAATATTTTTTGTTTCGTGTGATTTTACTTTATCTAATTAATCAAAAACAAAAACAATTCTTTTTTTTTTTTTTTAGTTTTCTATGAATACATACTAACAAGATTGTTAGCATCTTCCATTGATCTTAAATAAAAAATACTTCGAAGATCACCACCAGGTATTGATGATGGTAATCGTCGTGAATGTAAACCAGTTGCTAATACTAAATAATCATATTGTTCAGATCTCAATTGTTTACCTAATGTTTGAAATGTTAAATTTTTTGTTGTCCAATTAATATGAGTAACATTTGTATCAAGCATTAAATCAATTTTAGCTTTTTTAAAAAATGGATGATCACGTAAAAGTAAATCTTGTGGTTTTTTTAATGGTTGTTTTGATAATTGAACCTAGATATTTATTAAACTTTTTTTTTTGTGTATTTCAGTTTTTATAAGTTAAATAACATACACGATCGTAAGGTAATGTTCCTTCGCGTGTAAATAGAAGTATACGACCACGAAAACCATTTTGACGAAGTGTATCAGCACATGTAAAACCACCTGAAATTGTAAAAAAAAATACATATTATTAAAGGTATACGACAGGAGATTGTTTAAAAATAATTTTGAAGTCATTTTTTCAAAACTTGTTTTAAAAAGTAAAGCTAAAATGTAAAGTCTCCTTTACTTGTCGTACAAGGAAAGATTCTCAAGTGTGAATTACCAATCGGATTGGTGTGTTTTGCCCATCAGTAACTTTCCATACGCTGTTTCTTCTGAGTTATTAGAGTTACATAGAATTTCGCTCACTCTGACAAAGCATTTGGGCAAAAACTGAATGAAAGAATTTCAATTGGAAATTTTGCCCATAAATGGATCTCGTGGAACTTCGAATACACTGAAAATTTTAACCCAAAAGGATATGTTCCTACTGAGTTATCGAATGTTAAAGATGTGAAGCTCTTCCTAAAATGTTCGAGTTTCTGCCAAGTTTTTAGAACATCGTAGTAACATGCGACAGAAATCGGATTTTGAAATACGGTTTGCCTTTCTCTGATAGAGTCTGTTGTGGAAAAGACTGGATCACGATAGGTTTCGTTCTTCCACCACGCTAAAAAATATCGGAAATCTTGATGAGAACCAATGGTTATCGACTTCTATTAGGCTTGTCGGAGCCTCCTAATGGGTAAAATATCAGTTCTATTAGCTAGTTTTATTTGAGAACCTTCCCTCGTTAGACAACAATGATATAACTAGGAAGTTAACATTAGTTTTCATGGAAGTCTAAAGATATGTTAGTTTTCTCTCAATACAAGGCTATTTTTTCTCCGTGACATTTTCCATTTCCTATGTTAAGCATTTGTTTATTCAAATAATATCGAAACAAATAGTGCGATTCCGTGTTGATTTATAGAATATAGAGAATATCACAAAATACACAAGACAATTTCGAGAGTTCCAAGAATACACTTACCATGAACTAGAATTCAGTCAAAGGTATCGATGTTATTAGATCATGTTTACCCTTGATAGGCAAGCAAAACTTTTTTCTTCGTTTAAATATATTGCTACTTCTTATTATAGTTGAAAATTATCAGAGAAATTTTACACGACATTCGAATTCACAACATGAAATATCTGTTTTTTAAACATAACTCTACATTTTCGCTTTTAAAAAAAATCGAAAACTTATATTTTTAATACAATTCTTCATTGTGTTAAAATATTCATAGAAAATATTTACCAGCACCAGCACCAATAATAGCGACAACTGGTCTAGATTCTACTACAAGATCATCAGGTATTTTTGAACGTTCCCATTTTTCAAGATCTTGTGGACGTGCAACTAAAATAACTTGATCATCAACGATTTCAACATTATATTCTATTGAAGAAAAAACAAACATGTATAAGATTTCGAATAAAACAAATAAGTCAATATAAACATACTTGGTAAATGACTATGACCAGGATGATCTTCAATATCACCAGTATCAACACGAAAGCATGCACCATGTGCAAAACAACGAAGACGATTATTAATTAAAACACCTATTTATAATTATTTTCAACTGAATATTTATATTCAAAATAGAGAAACTCTATTCAAACCTTTTGCTAATGGCAATTTATAATGACAACATTTACTTGAATAAGCATGAAATTTATCATCTTGTTTAATAAGTAAAACACTTGCATTAACAATTGATGTTTTTACTTCAAATTCTTTCATTTGGCCATTTTGTAAATCATTAACTTGACATAATTGATGGCGAATTTGTTCGTTGGATGTTGCCGAAGGATTATGATCTTGAGCACTACCTGTAATTGTTGTTAAAGTTGATTTGATTGTATCCATCATTTTTGACGTGGAATGATATTTCTGAAATTGAAATAATGAAGAACGTACGAAATATCGAACAGATAATCTTGTCAATAGAAACATCTGGAGTTAAACAAAGAAAATTATGATAAACGTTTTTCAAAAGTTCAAAATTTTGAATTTATAGATTAATCACTAATGATGTGGTTTCATTTTTATATTAAAAATCAACATTGTGTTTCTTTCTTGAAAAGAGAATAAATTTTTGAGTTGCATATAAATTACTCATGATAAACCAGTCAAAGTAGAATCGATATTTGAATGAACATTAGCTCTGTATATTTGACATGGTTAACTATAATAATTTAATCATGTATAAATTTGTCAAAATAGATATGCATGCAAATAATGAAAAACTGTAATGAATAACTGAAATGGTATTCTAAAAAATTAAATATTTCATTAAAATACATTCTTTGTTTATCATTCAAGAATTTGTTCAAAACTATTCGACACGAATTTGGTTCACTATCTCAACATATTATGTGTTACAGAATAATAATTTAGAATACCAATAATACTAATGACAAATCACATGATATTTGAAAAGAAAGGTATTCGTCAGCAGATACTCCACTGTTTCATTACTTGGTAAGTTGACAATGAAGTTGATGTTCCCCATTATGAAAAAAAAAGTATTTCACTTTCTGATGTTATAATCCCAGAAGATGGAATAGTTTTTTGATAGTGAGGAACACCAACTTTAATGTTTCCACATATTTACGGTCAAGCACCGGTGAAACGAATATCAAAAGAACTTTTGAATACTCTTATATCATAAAATCTATGATCAAAATAAAAACAAGTTTATAACAATTGAAATTTCTTATTTTAAGAAAAACAAAAAGAATTTTTAGAAGTAGAAATTTTTAATTTATAGAAAATTATTTTATCCAGTAACAATATTGAGAACATAATTTATTTTCATGAATTGAAACAGATAATCTAGTATATTTTTAGTCTACTATTTAATATCAATCTATTGAATTCCAAATCACATTTTCTGTTACAAACGTATGATAAGATGATTTCATAGCTACACTTCTAGTACGTACCCTGACCCGAAAAAAGTCATCAAAATCGAGTTTTTACAGCCTCAAATTGATTGGATAAATTTCTACCAGAAATTCAAGCTAATTTTTTTAGTTCGGAATCTCGCTGGTCGTTTCGAGCCCAAATCTAGATCACGAGATATTCGTGAAACTATCATATAGGTGGCGCTAGTTTTGTGAATATCTCGTGATCTAGGCCGGGGCTCGAAACGGCCAGCGAGATTCCGAACTAAAAAAATTAGCTTGAATTTCTGGTAGACATTTATTCAACCAATTTGAGGCTGTAAAAACTCGATTTTGATGACTTTTTTCGGGTGAGAGTACGTACTATTCTATAAAATTCCAGACCACTGCACTTCATGTATAGAAACGGAACAAAAAGAAAGAAGAACGACGATTAGCTTATTCCTGTTAGTGAATGAATAAATAAATCCTAGATGCCGCACCAGTGCTATGCGCTTATTTCAATGATACAGTCATAAATCTTTATTACAATATACTTAATAAGCAAATATATTTGACAAGAACAAATAGATTTTTCAGTATTAATTGCTAGTTCAATTCTTTTTATAGGTATTATCAATTATATATAAGTGAAAATACTAAATAAGTCATATATATATAATAACTCATCTAATCTTCCTCTTGATCATTACTCAAGAAACTCTTGAAGTGAAAGTGATGATAACGAAAAAAACAAAAAAATTTGTATCAGATACAGGGTGTGTCAAAGCCTCGGAGATTGTGGAAGAAGAGAGTAAATAACTTAACCGATAGAGTAGATAATTTTTACTAAAATTAACCAAGTTTGTGTGAGAAGAAGGTTAAGCAGTTTTTTTTGGGACGCGGTGAGCAAAATAATCAATAAAGCTCTGAAAATCTGCTGAGAAAAAACGAAAATTTTCTAAGATTGTAAGCAGCATGAGTTACTCCTAATTACACATCATATTATAGTTTTCAAATACAATAGAATTATTAAAAAAAAAGTAAGATACAATAATTCTTAATCTCTTTAGAATAACTTTCACTTTGTATAGTGATAATCAAATATAATACAAAAAGAAAAGTAGTTCTATCAAAAATTTTTCAACATTTTCTTACTGAAATATTCAAATTAAAAATATCCAGCTGTCGTAAACAATAGATAGTAACATGAAAAACTTTATAAAAGTGTATATGACAATTGTCGACTTATTGATAGAACTTTTATAATGATAAGGTTTTGTTCTGTCATGATGCTTGCATGAAGCCCATTTTTTTTTTGCAGCCTTTTGTTGCCACCATTGATATTGATTGTTGTTTCAGTAACAGCCTCCTTCTGATTATTTACATTCTTTGTTTATTTAATAATATTCAACCTATCAAAAACCATAGTTACAGACTTTAGAAAGAAAAGAAAAAGAACAAAATTATTAAATCTTAAGTTTTATATATCAAATCTAATAAATATCACTAATTTAAATTTAATAATATCGACGCCGTTTACCACCATTAAGTAGATCATATCCATTTATTTCCTATAATGAACAAAAAAAAAGAAAAAGAGATGAATTTGTCTTGAAGTTAAAAATTAACTTATTTACAAAACAACACAATTTTTTATTATCATTCAACATTGAATAACATGATGTTTCATTATCAGTATCATCAAATATTCTTGTTCTATAAAATAAATCTTGTTCATTACTAGATACTGTTGATGTAGTCTATATAAATTAGATAAATAATTGATATATGAAGATTTTCTTTTGTTTTTAAGTACAAACTTCATTTATTAGTCGATTAAATTCATCGAAAATATTCGATGAATTAATTGAATCAGATGCTAATTGTGATCGTTGATTAATATTAATAGGTAATGTTGTTGTATAGTTCAAATTAAAATCTAAGATTGAAATAGACAATTGATTAATAATGAAAAAACTAATATTACCTCTTGCTATTTCAGTAATCGGTCGTAAATATTCTTGAAGTCTTTCATAAGGATTTTCGTCATCGGAACTTGATGATGATGAATCATAATCATCCAATGGTAAAAATACAGATGATGGTTGTTCTGAAATATTGTATTCATCTTGTTGTTGTATTGACGATGAACTATCAAGATTGCTTGATATATTTGAATTTTCATTGTGTATATTAGATGATCCTGATAAAAATGATGGACATTGTTTATGTCTTATAAAATATTGTGTCAAACGCCAATCATTTTCAGCTGAAAAAATATAAAACTGTTTTATTTAAAAGGAAAAAAAAACAAACCAATGATTTTGTTATTTTATATTTACACGACATCATTGAACGAAAAAGTTCATCAATTGTATTTGGTAATGTATTATCAGATGGTAACAGTTTTTTTAATAATTCTAAAGTATATTTAACTGATCGTGGATTCATATTAGAACTTAAAATAATATCAGCTATTTCATGTATGGCTTGTTGACGTGTCATGTTTGATTCGGCATATAAAGGACTATTGTTTATGTTCTATATTAAAAAAAAACCAAATAAATCAATTAAAATTTAAAAATAAAGTATTCGAAAATTGAGAAATAAAAATTTCTAAACAATCGTTAATTCTTTTGAATTAATAATAGACTTTCTGAAATCTGGAAAAGAATGTTCGCTAATTACTTTTTTTTTTTGTCACTCATCAGTTATTAATACTTCGTGCATGTAGATGAAGATGTAAGCAAAAAAATAAAGAATATCAATTATCGATTATTTGGATCTGGCAAAGTGTTGACATGTAAAAGAAAAGAAGAAAAAGTGCTGTGCCTTTCAGCTACCTAACAGAAGATTCATTAGCCTGATATTTTCCATACAACTATGACTAATGTTCATGTCAGAATTACAAAAAGAAAGAGTGTAACCTTAATAACTCGATAATAGCTACAATTATCGACATTCACTTTTCAGCAATCAAAAGAGAAGAATTCCTGACTTCTTTTCGTCGGATAATATATAAGAAACAATTATTTTTCATGTTCATCGTCTTTGTAAACAAATTTAAAGAAAATGCATGAAAATGCTGTTGTGTTTCAATATAACTTTAACGCAATAAACGATCTTTGAATGTTTTGCGAAGATGATTAGCTTTAAAATAATTTTGTCTTATATAGTATTAGCCAGAAAGACATCTGAAGTTCTCCTCTTTAGATTTTTTTTAAACCACAGATCATGAACTGTTGCCATTGTCAAGTTATTGAACTTACACTCATCCCTCTTTAATACTGTCGCAAACATTAGTCGTAGCACTGAACAGATGGCTGGCCTAAGGCAGAGTTCTTGAGCTTCTCCTACATTCTAACTAACCGAAGGAACATATGCATGTTACAACGTTGTCAACATGCTATCGGATGAGTGATCCGAGATAAACAGCCATTAGCCACTTGCCTCGGGTCATTCTATCACTAATGGTACTGAGATTTTGCATATAATACCTTTTGGATACGTGTTGAACAATGTAGTCATTCAGCCATGGCAGTTGATGACATGTAAAGAAATTAGAGATTGTTTCGAGTGAAGTCAGAAATCTTATTTTCTCCTAATTTTATCTCGTCTAGAAAAAGTTAATTTTTATGACTATTTCCCCAAACAAAAAATCAATAACTCTTTTGCTTGATTCAGCATCAAGTAAACATATTAATCTTACATGATTTTGATTATTTGACAAATTATTATCATCTATTTGTGATGTCGAAACCTCATTCGTTGCCATACTGTCGATAAATTTCGTTTTTTTTTTTCAAAAATAAATCTACAAAATTGTATTAAAAAAAGAAAAGAAAAGAAAAAATAAGTTTAATTTTTATTTTAAAAAAAAACGAGATTGATGAGATTCCATGTCAAAATAAAAAAGAAAATGAATAGAAAAATATTATTAATTCTCTGTAACAGTTTCATCTGTATCCGGTAGACCTTGTGTCCATACAATAAGTTCATCAACTTCATCATTTTTTATCAGATCACGTTCTTGTATTTGTCGAATAGTATTTTCATAATTTGTTGTTATATCAACACGACTATTAGCTTCAGTAACAACAAGTGCACGTTGATTATTTTCAGCTAAACTCATTTGTGAAACTTGAGCAAGTTTACGTCTATGTTCATCATTGGTTAATTTACCATATTTAAGTCTTTCAAATTGAAGTGCTCGATCATCAAGTTGTCGAGCTAAAACAACAAAATTTTACAATAATCGATTTCATATTGAATCATACCAAGCTCATCTGGATTTAAAGCAAGATGTTGAGCTTGCAATTTAGGTTGCAAACTTAAATAATTAAGTAAAGAATTTTCTTCATGTGAATTTGCTTTTGATGTTGCTATACCTTTCCATGTATTAAGATAATCTTCAAATGATATTCGCTGATTTAATGATAAATTATTACGTTGTCGTCGTGCACCAGGTCCTGGTGTACGTAAACGTGCTCTATAGCCTGTAAACAAAAAACAAATAATGAAATTTTTCGAAAATAAAATTAATCATTATTCTGTAACTTTTACCATCCTTTCCTTTGGATAGAAGAATTTGTTTTTGATTAGTATTTGTTTTTTCTTCATTAATTAAATCCATTAATTGTTGACTTTTTACAATAGAATCATGAATTATAGCTTGATAATCTGTTGGACGATATTTAAGCATACGCATTGCATCAGAATTGATGACAGTTTTTTGATTTGGTGTTATAAATACATTAGCTAATTCATCAAATAATGATCTTAATGTAAAACGTGAACTCCATGTGTCACTTGTTGATAAACCAACTCGACCTGTTATTGGATCAACATTTGGATGATATGGAATATGCATTGGATCAAATTGAAGTATTGGTGGTTGAACATTAAATGTATCATAAAATGAACAAAATATTCGAAACATAGAACCAGACCATTGTGAACTTTTTCCTGGACGAAGAAATAATGTTAAATCAAAAAAATTATCATCAACTATCGGTTCGATATCAATGCCATCCACTGGATTGTTATCAAGTAAATATAGATCACGTTTTATCAATAAATAAGCCCGAGAATGCATGATGACTTATACTAAAATACAATAAAATTTCCTATCTTCATTTTTCTTATGTTTCTAGTATTACAAACAAAAGAACACAACACACGTTAAAACAGAAAAAAAAACAAATTGAAATTTGATTAAACTTTTTATTGCATTAGTTGTTATTCTATTATTTGAAGATAATCTATCTTTATTTTTCTTTTGTACAATAAGAATTTGATTTCAAACAATAAAATATAACATAATCTATGTTTTGATTGTTTCTTTCTCCACATAAATGACAGACAATCAAGAATTTTACTTTATTAAGAATGGTTTGTAAAAATACCAATCACAAAATGGCTCCACCTCTGTTTCAACAGTCGAATAAACCAATCGATCTATTGACAACGGCTAGTAGAATGACCTGTTACTGTTTGTCGATTATTGTTTTAAGAAATGAAGAGACAAAGAGACATTATGTTTTTTGTCCTTTTCTTTTTATTACATACCAGAAGACAAAAGATATTTGTTTATTTTGAAATTATTTCATTTATTTTTTTTTTCTCTTTTAGTAGTTGATTGATTGATCTAGTCTTCATTTATTCATCAATATTAATATTCCTTTTTTATTGTAGAATTTTACTAATTTATCATTGATTATCTATTTGGTTTCGTCACTTGTCCTGTTTATGACAAAAGAAGGAGGGACGAAGAAAAAACGATAATGATAAAATATTGTATTGCCACAAACGAACAAAAGACATAGAGAAAGAGAGAGAGAGAGAGAGAGCGAGAGAGAGACAGGAAGAATCTTCAAATAGAGATCATTTACCTCTTCTCTGTATATATGGACGATATATCATTGTGGCGCGTTTTATGCAAAGTTATTTTTTGCTTTCTCTGTGTTTCTTCCTTCATACATAGATCTTATTCTCCTAATGATGTTGTGTGTATGCATATATGTACTACAGGAAACCTCGCAAGAAAATAAGAAGAGAAAGACGAGAACAACGCGACGAGTGAAGGAAAAGATTATAACATGAGCAGACATCTAGACACATAGGTATACAAGTCTATCGTAGCCGTCGAAAGGAGGGAAGCTTTGTATTACAACGACGCGTCTTACTAGTCTAAGTACACATATAGATCGAACATCTGTCAGTACCAAAGATCATCTTAACTCCTCTCTCTTCCTATTTTTTCTTGGAAGAGATGTGTCGTTGATTGGTTTGTTACTCTTTCTCTTGTTTCTTCTCTGTGTCCCATTCGTAAACGAGTTGTTCGTTAATAACAAATACACAATATAACGAGAGCTGAAAATAGGATGTTCTAACTATTGTTATCTCATTTATTATTAGAGAAACGAATTTTTCATTGTGCTTTTTCTTTTTCTTTTGTTTTTTTTTCTACATATTAAATTTATTTCGTCTTTTCTTTTCTTTTGTTTCAATCAACAATATTGAAAAAAATCAACAACAATACATAAGAATAGTATTCGTAGACTTGTTCGTTTTCTATCATAAGAGTTATTTATCGTCGTTTATTGTTGTTATATTATCTATGGCATTGATCGAAGATACAAATGGACAAAAATAAGAAAAGAACAGAAAAGAACAACAACACAACGACAACTGTTGTTTCATGTTTGTTACCGGTCAATCAAATTAGCTTTGTATGTTTCATTTGATATCTTAACCTATTTAACTTGATTATCATGAATACGCCTCTCTAACACTTATTTTGAAAGAGCTTAGAGAGATTCTTTTTTCTGTTTTTTTCGACAAATAAGAACATCAATTTATGTCAATCATTTGTCCGTTCGCTCGAATGAACAAGACAATTAAAACATGTGAATATGATGTTCAATTACTCCTACCACTAAATAATATATACACACAATACATTCTATACAATATGTACATGTATGTGTGCACTTCAGGCAACTTCCCACCTGTCCTCTCTTTTTCTTTTTCTTTTTCTACTTTGTGTTCTGTTAACCGTTTGTCCATTTCTATGTCTGATATTTTATTTCATGAAATGGGCACGTAGATATAGACAGTATATTAAATGGCTGTCACAATATAATGAAGAAACATAAATAAATTTTTAATTGTAGATGTATCCGTTGACTGGCGTTATCGTTTAAATAATTTATACATATATATATATATATAAGAAAAATAATCAAAAATAAAAAAAACGATGAGTGCATATTATTATCAAGAAACTAATGGACATAATGGTACGTCATATCAACAACCATATGGTGGATATCCACAACAAAATTTCGTTGATGATTATATGGTTCCAGAAGAAGAATGGGAACGAGAAGCTGTACTTGATCCAGCATGGGAACGACAACAAAAAAAAGTGATTGATTGATTGATTGATTATTTTTTTCATTAGAATTTTATTTTTTATTAATATTTATCGTTTTTAGACGTTTACTGCTTGGTGTAATTCGCATTTACGTAAAGTTGGTACTTCAATTGAAAATATTGAAGAAGATTTTCAAAATGGTTTGAAACTTATGCTTTTATTAGAAGTTATATCAAATGAACAACTTGTTAAACCTGATCGTGGACGAATGAGGTTTTATTAAATATGAATAAAAAAAAAGAAAGAAACAAACCGAAGAAAATTTTTGTCTTTATTTTTCTGTAGATTTCATAAAATTGCAAATGTAAACAAGGCATTGGATTTTATAATGAGTAAAGGTGTTAAGTTAATGGTTGGTGCTGAAGGTATAAAATATTTGAAATATTAAACAAAAAGAAGAAAAAGTATTTTTATTTTTCTTAGAAATTGTTGATGGAAATTTAAAAATGACATTAGGAATGATCTGGACTATTATTTTACGTTTTGCTATTCAAGATATTTCTGTTGAAGGTAAAAACAAAAAAAAAGAAAAAATAAATCGATTGAAAAATTTATAATCTTTATTTTGATTATAGAAATGTCAGCTAAGGAAGGTTTATTATTATGGTGTCAACGTAAAACAGCACCATATAAGAATGTTAATGTTCAAAATTTTCATACCAGGTTTCGGATATAAACTAAAAGAAATTTATTTTTGTTTTTTTTTACTTATATTTTAAAAATAGTTTCAAAGATGGTCTTGCTTTTTGTGCACTTATTCATCGACATCGCCCTGATTTACTTGACTATAGTAAATTAACTAAAGTAAGTTTACTTAAATTTTCATTCGAAATAAATTTTGTTGAACCAAGTCTCAAAGTGTATCATGGAGAGAATCTCGTCAGATAGTTTCTTTCGATCTTAATAATGTCTCTTGCCAATAGATAAAAACTCTAGAGAGATTTGAGTAACTATTGATATTTGATTGAGCTACCATAGAGATCCTCAAATGTTCGAATTTTGATCTGAAACTTAGTGCAAATGGAAAACTCAAGTAGATGAAATCGGACGAAGTTCCCTCATAAGCGAAGAATTCCATTAGTGTATAAATGGAACCAGTCTGATTAACTCAGATTGGATCGGTGGCCATAAAATCCATATCGGTAATGGTACATCTCTGTAGCCGGTCAATTGATTAAAGAATATACACTTTGAAAGTGATGAGCAATTGTCTTCATTCAGTTTTTACAAGAGTGGACTGTCTCATTCAAAAATAGCCAATTTTAGTGAAAAAAAACGAAACTCAGATAACCATCTCAGATTTAATTTTTCGATTTGGCATCTCTTTTTTTGCCAAA